CACTGCAGACACCTGGGGAGGGGGAAGGGGCTGGGGGCACCTGGGCACACCGAGATGGGCAGGGGACTGATCACAGCCATTCCCAGCAGCTGGAAAGGGGAAGGAAGGGTTAAACGGAGTGCAGAGAGGAGGAGAGGAGCCAGACGCCAGCCTGGCTACTGGAAACCACCATGGGCTGGCAGCGACTGGGACGGACGGCTGTGGAAAGAAGCTCAGGGCACAGCACTCAGACCTGCCCAGTGCCAGCACTGTCACCCTTGGGTGCAGCCTGGCCCTGCCACGTCCCCCCAGCACAGGGGCAGCAAGGCCCTCGTGCAGCAAAGAGCCGTGGGAGAGCCCCGCACGAGGGGCTGCCAAAGGGCTGCTTGGTGTCCAGCCAGGTGAATTTGGGACTGCTGAGAGGAAATCCAGGCCAGTGAGGGAGCTGGGAACGGAGCCGCCGGCCCGCGGCCCGCTGCTCCTCGATGGCAGTGGCCAAGTGTCCCGGGTCCCCAGAGCACCCCTGCCGGGCAGGGACCCTGCGGCCAGCCCGGGCACGGGGGCTGTGCTGGGGGTAGGGGGCAGGGAGGGTTTGCACGCACAGCTCGGCCCAGCCACAGAGACAAGAAATGTGAAATAATGAGAAGTCACCCCAGGCTGAGCAGTCGTGCCCCCCTGGAAGGAAACTTGGCACACAGCAGCTCTCGCCCACCTGCCAAGTCCTGCCAGGAGCGAGGCTTCGCACGCGGGCTGGAAACCCCAAGAAGTTTATGAGGGACCCGCTGACACGTGGAGGAGTCGGGCAGCAGCCGGAGCCGCTGGGCCCTGACAGGAACCTGCCTGTCAGCAGAGCCCAGAGCACAGCCCGTGCCGGGGGCACGCCTGGGATGCACCGGCATCTCCCCGTGCTGGCATCACCCGCGCGTCCCAGCCCATCCCCTTGGCATCCCGCCCCTCCATCCCTGCCAAGGGCAAGGGGGGAGGCGTGGGAGCAGCGCCTGGCCATGCCATGGGGGATGCACGGGCCCAGCACCTCTTTGGCCAAGCTGCCACAGGATTGGCCCTGCAGCCCCTTCCCCCAGTCCAGATGTGCTTCCCCCAGTCCAGATGTGCTTCCTCCAGTCCCGATGTTCTTCCCCCAGTCCCGATGTCCTCCCCAGCACCTCTGGACGGCTCCAGAGGCAGCAGCATCCAGGGACTCCAGCACTCCAGTGAGCATCATCTGCTCATCTGTGCCTGGGTTTCTCTGTCAGCAGGGAGGTTCTGCCCAGTGTCCAGGGAGCAGCAGCAGGAGGTGGGTGGGTGGCTGCCTCCCAGGGAAGGCTCCTGCTCTCCCAGAGGGCCGGGGGAACCGGGCAGCTCCGGCAGCTGCCGGCCACGTGTGCCCTGGGCACTGCACCACAATTGGATTTGCATCTGCCCTGCCTTTTACTGCATGGAAATTGAATTGTAAAATGTCAAAGACATTTCCTAACTGCGCCATATTAGCCCGGTTTTATTAAATACTGTTATCAGAGCAGATTATGAATGCAATCAACTGCAGGCAAGAAAACCCAGAATTAACTGGCCACTGTGCAGGAGGACACACCGGAGGGCAGGATGCAGCTGGCAAGGCCCTGCCCAGAGCCCATGTCCCCAGGCGCTCTGGCTCTGCTTCCCACTGTCCCCAAATCCTGGAGCACCGGTGAAGAAACATCCCCGCCCAGCCAGTGCAGCTCCACTCACATCCCAGGATGGCTCCCCCGGGACAGCAGGACCGCTGAGCTTTGAGGGTCCTTCCTAGGCAGGCAGGACCTGCTCCCTGCACATGGCAGCAGGGCTGGGACCGATGGGACAAGCCCTGAGGTGCCAGAGCTGCTGCCAGTGACACGCAGGGCAGGATGCAGAGCCCTGCACAGGTGGCACAGGTGGCAGTGCAGGAGCAGGGCTCTCCTGCTCAGAGTGGGGACACACTGAGAGCTGCCCAGGCCTCAGCACCAGCACCCCAGGCAGTGGGACCAGGCTGGGCTGGCTTACCCAGGGCTACCCTGACATGGCAGGACACAGGGGATGCAGAGCTCTGTGCCCAGCCCTGATCCCAGCCAGGCAGCGTGGCTAACCCAGCCCCGGGTGGCCCCAACACCAACAGCACACCAGGACACGAGTCCTAATGGCAACCTGGGGGACCAGGATGGCACTGAGGACCAGGCATGGGGAGGGCAGCACAGTCCCACAGGACACAGCCCTGGATTCCACCCACACGGCCAGTTCCTGCCATGCCGGGTGCTTGTCCTGGCACTGCAGGGCCACGTGCTGGGACATCTCCTTGGCCACACGAAGCTGCCATGTGTGGAGGTGCTTTACAGAGCCCCCCAGCCTGGCAGGAGGAGAAACCGGAGCAGAGGATCCAACCCTTGGCTGGAGGTCCCACACTCAGCACCGGCAGCACCGCACAGGAGCCGTTCCCAACGTGGATGAGCCCTGGCAGCACCGGCCCCACAGGGAAGGAGCCAGCTCGCTCCAACCCTCCACAGCCACGGAACTGTGGATCCTCTGCGTGGCACAGCGTGGCACAGCTCATCTCCCACCGCCCGAAGCCCCAGGTGCCCAGGACAGGGATGGCACAGGGGGCACGGGTGCTCCCGGAGACACCCCGTGGTCCCATCCCATCCCACGGCGCTGGAGCCGAGGGGAAAACGCCAAGTCACCACATTTCTTCGAGGTAGCACCGAGAAGGAGGGGACAGGGAGGGAAACAGTTCGCTGCCAAATCCCTGCATCTGATTTGCGCAACTTTCAGACAACCTCATCAATTATGGATGCCCGGGAAGCAGGCGCGGTGCGCGCTGCGGCCGGCCCGGGCCCGAACCCACACTCACACCAAACGGGGCCCCCTGTCACCATAGCAACCCGCACTAATTCACACAAGGATTTTTAAAATCTCGTTTATTAAACCCCACATGAATAGGATATTATCCAGATAACAGAGCTAAGTTACAAATCTTGCTGGTGCGCGGGGAGCGCCGCAGGCGTGCGTGGGACCGGAACTTGGAGGGGACGTGGGGACACCACGGCGTGGGGACAGCCCTGCTCGGTGCTCTCACACTCCAGGCACCACTCCAGCCCCACTGCCATGGCCAGAGGTACTTGAGCACCCCAGGCTGGGAGCATGGCACCCACGGCACTCGTGGCACCCGCTGCCCCAGGGGAGAGTGGGGTCTGGTGGGGAAATGCCCCCAGACGAGCCCAGAACTGGCACTGGTGGGTCCAGGCACTGGGCTGCCCAGCAAGGGAACGGGGTGAGTGTCCATCCCAACAGCAGGCTCAGCCCCACTGGGTGTCCCTTGTCCCTAACCTGTGACCCTGGCACAGGGAGCTCTGCTGGCCCCGTGGCCATCGTGCCTGGTGTCCAGAGGGCTCAGCCCTGGGAGAGGCAGCAGAGCACTGGGAAGGACAGGGATGCAGGAGAAGGTGCTGGCACTCAAGCACCTCTGGTTGTTGCCACAGCAACGCCAGCTGTGTGCCCAGGCCAGCAGGGACTGGAGAGGGGTGTGTGGGGACAATGTTGGGCACAGGCCAGGCGTTGTCCCCATGCCCACACACTGCCCCAAGAGGCCACGGCAGCAGCAGTGTCTGGGGTGGGTTGGGATGAAGCAGGCTCTCAGCTGGAGGTTCTTCTTGCCCTGCACAGTCCCTCAGCAGTGACAGCAATGATGGCACTGGGGACGTGGGGGACACCATGCCAGCCCTGCATGGCACAAGGAAACACATGCTGGCCTCATGTGGCACCGTGGACACAGTGGATGCAACACCAGAGCAGGGACATGAGGAGTGCCATGCCAACCCTGCTCAGCACCAGGACATGGGGCACCACGCTGGCCCTGCTTGGCCAGAAACAGCCCTGCATGACCAGGGACAGCGGACACCTCACCGGTCCTGCACAGCTCCAGGGGTGCCCACATCTGGGGAGTGCCAGCCCTGCAGAGAGGGACAGTGGGCACAGCAACGGAGGGACCATGTGTCCAGTGACCCAGAGCCACCCGAGTGCTCCCCGTGGTCCCTGTCCATACCCAGGGACGGTCTCCGGCCGCCCAGCTCGTCCCCGGCACCAGGCCTGAAACCTGCGGCTGCATCAGCACCATGAATTATTCAGTCCCGGGCGGAACGCCTCGACGGAGCAGTTACATCCTACAGCGAGTAGATACTCATGGAGCTACACACACGTACACCCGGAGACGCACACGCACAGGCACACGCACGCCCCCGCAGCCTCACACCTGGCCACGCACCCGCGGAGCCGAGCACAGCCAGCCGCAGGGATGCACCGGGAGATACCCGCGGAGCGACATCCAAACACCCCCTCACCGAGAAACACCAACAGCCCAGCCAAACGCACAGATGCCAGGGTACACACCGCCACGCAAACACCCCACGCACCCAAACACAGCCGCACACGCACCCGCGGCAGCGCGGACACACGCAGAGGTGTGCGGGCAGCGAGCCCCACCGCTCTCCCGCGCGGGCCGGGCACACTCGCTGCACGCACACGCAGACGCACCCGGCCGCAAACCCTGCCCAAACCCTCGGGAGCACCGGGCCCGGCTCCCGGGGGGTCCGGAGTTGCTCCCGGGTACGGGGCGAGGCCGGCCCGGCCGGAGCCCGACCGTGCCGGGGGTGCCCTGGGACCGGCGAGCAGCCCCTTTGCAGCGCTCCGCACCCGCGCAGCGCCCGGGGATGCTCCGAGCCCCGCCGGCATGCACAGACCCACGCCGGGCAGCGCCCCCCGCCCCTCCCGGGGCGCCGCCGGGGGTCCTCGGCACGTCTACGGTCCCCGCCCGCCTGCGAGGAGCCGCAGCCGGGGAAGGGCCGGGGATGCTCCGGGGCGGGCAGGGCGGCATCGCGGCCGGGCCCCGGGAGCAGCGCTAGGATGCGGCCCCGAGCCGCCGCGCCCGCTGCTGCGACGCCGGTGCCCGTGCGGGCCCCCCCTCCGTGTGTCCCCCCGCACCGCCGCCCCCCGCCCGGCCCCGCCGCCGCCGCACTCACTGGCTTTGCCGGGCTTGGGCCTCTGCAGCAGCTTCTGCACGGCCGCGATGTCCTCCGCCTTCACCGCCTGCACCAGCTCCTGGTCCTTGCCCATGGCTGCGCCGCGCCGGGGCTGCCGGCTGCGGGCTCACGGCCCGAGCATCCTCCGCGGCGCGGCAGGAGGAGGAGGACGAGCAGCAGCAGGAGGAGGAGAAGGAGGAGAGGGCGGGGGCCGCCCGGTGCTGCGGGCGGAGCGCGGGGATCCCCCTCCCCGGTGCCGGGCCCGGGGGACGCCCCGGTGGGAGACGCCGCGCAGCCGTGGCGTGTAACGAGCTGGAGGGTCTCAGCGGCCGGAGGGGACGGGGGCAACACGGCTGCTCGGCGAGGATCCCGGGGGGGTCCAGCAGACCCCCTCCCGGGGCACCCCCGGCTCCCCAGCCCGGCTCCAGGCTGCCTTTCGCCGCTCCCGGTCCCGCGGTGCCGATAACGGAAACGGGGCAGGAGCAGCCTCCTTTATTTCTGTAAATAAAGCGCTCATTACCGCGTCATTTTCCACTTTTGTTGACACAATGGCCGGTGACATTCGTCCCTTTCACTTTTAAGGCTGAAATGACCGAGACATTACAGTTGTGCAGGGTTCCCGGCTGTGCCGAGGGCTGAGGAAGCTGAGGAACCCGATAGGAAATGGGGCCAGTGATGGACAAGGCGCTGATGTCCCCGCGGTGCCCCCAGGGCGGAACACGGACATCATTCCCGAGAAATCAGCCCAAATTTGTGCCCTCCCGGACAAGTTCCTAGCTCAAAGCCTGGTTCAGTCCCGGCTCCAGCGAGCCGGCGCTGGGGCACACGGGGCCAGGAGGCTGCTCCAAAGTGGCACTGAGGGGTGCGGTCACGGGGGCTGCAGGGCTGGGGACAGGGAGCTGCAGCCCCGTGTGAGCCCCCGCGGCAGACGGGAAGATGGAGGAGGGAACGCGGCTGCCCCCCGATGCCCCCCGCCCGTGCCCCCCGAGCTGGAGCCCAAGGGTCCCTTGCACAGCCCCCAGCTCCCTCCCGGTCCCCATCTCAGGGCTGACCCCCCCTCGGGGATGGCGGGGTCCGTCTCCTCTCCCCACCCCCACTTTCCAATCCAGGACATTTGGGTTGCCAGCACGGAACGCCGTCTAATCTGCCCTCTAATCCCGCAGCCGGGCGCCGCACGGGGCCCTGAGCCGCGGCCGGGCTCCCGGGGCTGGGGGCTGGGGCAGGGGCTCCGCACGGCTCGGGGGCTTCCTTCACATCTGCCACCACCTGAGAGCGACCGCAGCGCCTCAACAAAGGTCCCTTTGTGCCCCACGGCTCCCTCCTGCTGGGCCCCCACACCCGGTCACCGACACGGACGGGGCAGCTCCTGCCCCCGCGGCTCGCCGGACACCGGCACCTCTGTGACCGGGGCACGACACGGGCCAGCAGGACCGCGCTGTGGGGCCGTGGGGGGCACCAGCGCTGTCCCTCCTCCCCGCCCGAGCCGGGCTTTGCGGGAGGAGCTCCAGCCTGGCGTTCCTGCGGCTCCCTCGGGCTCTTGCCAAGTCGGGTTGGTCTTTGCAGAGCAGAAGAATGTGCAGTGAAATGTCCCCGTTCCTGCCCTGCACACGCCGAGAGAAACCAGCGCCCGGAACGGGCAGAGCCTGGGGCACGGCGGGTTTGGGATGGGCACTGTGGGCAACAGGCACGTGGAAATCTGACTGTGGGAACCGGAGCCAGCAGCAGCAGCAGGAGGGCTCATCCCACGCAGAGATCCCCATGCATCCCCCCAGCACAGCTGCCTTTCCGATGGGAAAGCAGCACAGCAGGGCCCCTGCCCGGGCTCGGGGGGGCCTGGGAGCACACGGGGCCCGGGCGCTGGAATAACAGAGGAGAAGGACAAGATGAAGGCAGAGTTTGGAGGTGAAGAAGCCTCTGCTGTGCTCACATCCCTCCCAGCGATCAGGGAGTCACAGAGAAGGCAGACACAACACTGGGGAGTGTGCTGGTGGGAGCCGGCAGGGCCCCTGCACATCCCTCTGTCCCTGCCCTGTCCCAGGTGCCAGCCTCGCCTGGGACATGCAGCACGCAGCAGCCACACACTGGATCCTGTGCAGGGAGGGCACGGCCACCCTCGAGGCCAGCACGAGGCACACGGGTGTCCCCACCAGCTCTGTCACACCCTGCCCTGTGGCTGCCAACCCCTCCGGCTCCATCCGAGCCTGAGCAGGGGCCCGGGAGCTGTCACAGGGTGGATCCACACCAGCCTCCCTCTCCCCGCACGGGGGGCAGAGCCGTGGCCCCCCCAGCGAGCAGCAGTATCTACGAAAATACTTTATTGCGGAGGGGGAGTGCAGGGGCTCTGTACAGTGCAGACGGCGGCAGCAGCGCCGTCACCAGCAAACAGACACACGATGGTGGCCCCCAAAGGCAGGGGGCAGCGGGGGCCGGGGCTGCAGCCCCTACGTGGCCTTGGGCCGGCCGTTGAGGCGGATGATGGCCCGGTAGTCCCGCACCAGGTCCCGCAGCTGGTCCAGGTAGGGGTTGACGTTCTCCTCCATCCACTCCTCCACCGTGTCAGGGAAGTAGATCCTCTCCAGCTGGGCACGCAGGTCACGGACAAAGCTCTCCCAGTCCTCATGGAGCCTGGAGAGGGGAGAGCAGGGGTGCAGCTCCCTCCTGCGAGAGACCCCTCCCAGCCCCATGCAGACTCCTCCCAGTGCCCAGCACCACCTACTTCAGCACCTTGCTGCCAAAGCTCTCCATGTTGCGGGGGTTCCCAAACAGGCGTTTCCTGTGGTAGGGGCTGAACCAGCCCTTGATGGCACTGGAGAGGCACGAGGGACTTGGGGGCACAGGGGCCACCGGGGATGGGGAGCTGCACATCAGGCAGGTCCCCTCCCATGGAAATGCATGGCCAGAGACACCAATGCCACTGCTCCCCCTGCCTGTTACCTCTCCTCCTCCAGTGCCTTGAGGATGCTCTCCTTCAGGTGGCCATTAACCTGCTCCACCAAGTGGTAGATCTCCACACCGGGGAACACTCCCCTGCCCTCGCTGGGGAGAGGGAGGGGAAGGTGAGGGCTCAGCACGTGGGGTGCACTGGGCTGGGTGAACCCCAGCACCCTGGCAGGTCTGGGACCAGGGCATCTGGTTGACCAAGCCCCTGCCTCCCTCCAGTGCATCCCTTCTGATGCAACTGCCCGACCCTGTGCCACGCACCAGGTGCTCTGCTCCAGCTGCACGCTCTCCAAGCCCAGCACGTCCAGGACCTTCCTCTTTGCCTCTTCTGTGAAGCCCCCTGGGAGGGCGAGGAAAGGGACAGAAGAGCTTGGGACAGCTCACCATCAGGCTCAGCCCAGCTTCAACTGAGTGAGCTGAAGCTCTTCCTCCCCTGGCTCCCACCTGCCCCGGTGCCCTGCCCAGCAGGACGGGGTCTGGCAGGCAGTGGGAGGCGGGGTGAGCCCGGCCATGCCGGCAGGGCTGGGGGCTCACCGTTCACCAGGGTCTGCAGGCAGATGGCCAGAGAGGGGATGCTGACAGGCAGCAGCTCACAGAGCACCGAGTAGTGATCATACCTGTGGGACAGGGACAGGGACAGGCACCACCGTGCCAGCACGGCTCTGTGGGCACCGGGAGGGCAGGGGGTCCCACCTCCCCTTACCTCTGCCAGCCGGTGAGCACGACGCCCTGCAAGCGCAGCGGGGCCAGCCGTGGCACGGCCTGCATCACCTTCAGCCAGCTCAGGTGGTTTTTCAGGTGGTAGCTGAGCGGGGTCCAGGCCTGCGCCGGCCCCGTGGTGCCCTTGAAGGCGCTGGCGAACCACACGGCCTCGAAGCCGCTCTCCACGTACTTGGTGAGGAACGGCACTGCAGCGGGACAGGCGCGAGCCACCAGTGCCACTGTCCCCAGGAGGCTGCGGGGGGCTCAGGGGGGATCCCCCCACCGCCCCCAGGGGCCTGGCACGTCGCCTTACCGATCTGCTCGGCCTCGAAGTCGGGCGCATAGAACCACACCACGGGTGAGACGTGCTTCGCTATCCCGGACTCTGCGGGGACAGCAGAGGGGACGTTGGTGCCAGCAGCAGGAGGGAGCCTCGGGCTCCTCACGCATCCCCCACAAGACCCACGTTCCCCCAGAGCAAGGCATGGGAGCGATGCCTGCCAGGGTGGGCACAGAGCGGGTGCGGCTGAGGAGCCTGGCACAGGTGCCACCACAGCCGGCCCTGTCCCTCACCCTGCAGGGCTCCCACGCTGATCTTCCTCAGCATGTCGTCCCACATGAGCACCCGCAGCCCCCAGTACTGCGCCGTGAGGAAGCCCAGAACCTCCTTGATGTGCTTCAGGTACATGGTCCCCACGTCGCCCTTGTTGTGGCTCATCCAGTTCTTGGAGTCCATCCCCTCCCCGAGATGGAAAACCTGGAAGGTTTGGGGGAAGGGAGATGCTCAGCAGCCCTGGGAGCACCCCCAGTGCCTGGGGAGAGGGCTGGGGTCCCTGCACAGCCCCTGCCCACCTCGTCTGCACCGATGTGGATCCAGGTGGAGCGGCGGTGCTTCTCGACCACCTGAGACAGGATGCTCTTCAGCAGGGCCAGCGTGTCGGGGACGTGGGGGTTGAAGCTGTTGGGGAAGCGCTCGACCTCCCGCAGGTGCTGGTACTTCTCGTGCTTGAGGATGAACTGTGGGGAGGAGCCATCAGGGGGTGTCCAGGGGAGCCCCTGAGATCTGGGATGGGGAGCAGGGCTGGGACCCTCTACCTCCACATGGCCAAAGGTCTGCACCAGGGGAACCACCTCCAGCTTGTGTTGCTCCGCCAGCTGCTGGATCCGCTCGATGTCCTCCTCGCTGGGAGGGCAGGGACAGGCTCAGCGGGGATGCCAGGGCAGAGGGCAGAGCATGGGGGCACTTCCCCCTCCTCCCCCTCCTCTGGCACCCTTCCCACATGGCCCCTGTTGCCCCACAAATGTGTGCACTTTACTGAGAGGCACAGACATTGACCTGTCAGGGCAGGAACTCCTGCTGGTCTGCCCAGCAGCACAGCCTGGCACTCTGACCGTGGTTATCGTGGGCACGGTGCCAGGTGGGTCACACCCAGCCCCTGGCACACCAGGACGTGCAGGGGCCACGAGCCTCACAGCCAGCTCGGCACACAGCCCTGCTCACCTGTAAGCGTACGGGGACCTGAGGATTTCCAGCTCTCCCTTGAAGGGGAACATGTCCTCGTACTCGATGAGGATGCCGTTGGCTCCCAGCTGGGACAGGACGGGGAACACCTGCAGGGTGGGCAGGGTGGGCTCAGCAGTGAGGGTGGCACAGTCCAGGTGTCAGCAGGGGCCGAGCCCCATCAGTGCATCCCCTCGTCCCTGTCCCTGGGCATCCTCACCTGTTCCAGGTAGGAGACTCTGGGCGCGGCTCCCTTGAGGTCCAGGTGGACCAGCCTCATCTCGGTGGCACTGACATCCCTGGGGACCTGCTGCTTTTGCTTCAGGGTCATTATCTTTGCCGCAGGGACCTCCAGAACCTGGCTCTGGGGGATGACGTCCTGGACGACGTCACCTGTGTCCCCCCAGAAGCCGCTGTCCTTGCTGACGTGCTTGTGCAGCTCCAGGGTAAAGCTGCAGGGAGTGGGGCAGGCATGGGGGTGTCCGTGGGGCTATGGGGGCACCAGCTGCCCCCAGCACCAGGCACCACAGAAGCACAGCCCAGGGGGTGCCACACACCCGGCCCCGCTGGGGTCCTGCTGTCACCTCACCTGTCACGGAAGAGGAACTTGATGCCAGCCAAGGCCACGAGGAGCAGCACGACGAGGCGCAGCAGGTTCAGCCGGTGGCTCCGCTGGAAGGCCATCTCTGGGATCTCTGGGGACACACACGGGGTCTGGTACTCCAGAGGGACCCCAAGCACAGGTGAGCCCACCCAGCCCCACGTACCATGCCCTGCTCCCCTGCCCGGGGCAGCGTGAGACCCAGAGAAAGGCGACATGGGGGCAACCCCTCTGGCCAGCCTGGTGCCCATCGGGGACGTGCGCGGCAGTGCCCCGTGTCCCTCCTACCTCGCGTGCCCCAGCGTGGGGCCAGCGGCCGGCTCCGCCTCTCGCTCTGCCCGCAGGGGTGAGGCCGGTGCCCGAGCAAACAGGGCGGTGGCTGCAGAGCCGGTCCCCACCGGGGATCCCGAACGGCTGCCGGGTCACCCCCGAGCCAGGGGCCGTGTCACAGGGCGGCTGCGTGGGGCGGCATCACGGGGAGGGCACGGTGCATCCCTGCGGGCAGGGAAGAGGTGATTGGGAGCCACCCGGGCACCTGCCAGCACCGGGCTGTGCCGGGGATGGCACCGGCACGGCCACGGCACTGGCGGGGTGAGGATGGCAGCCCGGACCCCTTTGGCACCCGCAGGGGCTGGGCGAGAGGCAGCACGGATCCTCCTGGGAGCCACACTCAGGCACTTCTGCCCGTTCTTTCTCTGGTTTCTTCAGTTCTGGAGCGTTCGGAGAGGACTGGACAGGGCAGCACAGCCCCCCCGGCCCCATGGAACTGCCCCTGCTGCAGCCAGCGCTGCTGGTGAGTTCCTGGTGAGCCCCTGGTGAGCTCCTGGTGAGCTCCTGGTGAGCCCCTGGTGAGCCCCTGGTGAGCTCCTGGTGAGCTCCTGGTGAGCTGCCACCCAAACACACCAGAGCTCAGGGTTAAACGCAGCGCCGGCACCCTGGGGAAGCGAAAAGCAGATTTTGGCAGCGGCGGGTGCCCAGGCGGCTCAGCTGATCGCGAGGGTTTTGTTTGCGTTGCCAGAGCGGCGGCACCGGGGAGAGCCGCGCTGAGCCGCCCCGCGGCTCCGAGCGAGCCCTTTCCCAGACACAGCCCTGAGCCCCCCGAAACCTCCGCGGGGAGCAGGGCCGAGCGCCGGGACCCCCCCGGGCAGCGGGACGTGCTGGCTGTCCCCAGAGCACGAAGCCCCAGCAAGGCCAGGTCGCAGGTGCAGGAGCTGGAGCATCCCTGCTCCATCCCCCGCTGCCCGCGGGTACCCAGGCCCTCGGTGCCCGGGGGCAGGAGGAGGAGCAGGAGATGGTTTTTGGGGATCAGGCTGCTCCCTGCACTCCTTCCCTCGTGGCACTGCAGCTCCTGCGCTGCGGGGGACAAAAGTGGCTCCCGCTCCGCGCCGTGCCCAGCTCGGGATATTCCTGGCAGCTCCAGCACGGCCCGCGGGGATGTGCCGGGCTGGAGAGGGCTGCCAGCCCTGGGGTCACCCCTGACCGCACGGGAAGGCACAGAGGGCACACAGGAGGGGCTCAGTGGCTCCTGGGCACGCAGCATGGGGAGCCCAGCACCCAGGAAGGCCATAAATTTGCCAAGTGCTAATGGCGCTGTCATGGGAACACAGCGCCTGATCGGAGCAGGGATAAATATTTAGACAGACGCTGTCAGCTCGCCAGGATTCGGTGTTTTTAATGCACGTTATCTTATTTAAATAGGGCAGGTTCCCAGGGCACAGCCAGGGCGAGGGGTGGGCGCTGGCCGGAGGGGGAGTCCCGAGGGGTGCCGGGGACAGCCAGGGGCCGCGTCCCTGCGCCGCGGGGACATCCCTGGGCAGCCCGTGGGGGCTCAGCCGGTGGATGCCGCCCCTCAGCCCGGCACCTCACCGCGAGCACCCGCTGTGTTCGCCAACGTCACATCTGCTGCTGCCGCGGGAGGCTCGGGAGAGCCCGCGGCTCCGCACAACCGGCCGGACCGACAGCGCTCCACCGGCGGCGGGGCGAGCAGGGGCCGCAGCCCCGGCCCCCTCCCTGCGCCACGTGGGCTTTGCTGCCAGCCCCCCGCATCCAGCCCGGCTCCCCGCTTACCTCCCAGAACCCCGAGGAGGGGAGGATGGAAGCAAACAAACCCACACCTGAGCCTGGAGATGGCAGGGCCGTGCGGGGGAGGGAGCCCAGTGTCCCGGGGGTGGCAATGCCACTGCGTTCCATGGGCTGGCAGCAGGGGTTTCGGGTGCCCCCAGCCCCACTCCGGTGCTCCCGGTGTTTCCAGGGCAAAGCCCCGTGTCCCGGCACCCCCGGCAGGGCAGCCCTGGGGAGCCTGCACACCTCGAGAGCACGCTCACACACACGTGCACACGCTCACGTGCTTCCAGAGCATTCCACGGGCAGCCTGGCCGTCACCAGCCCGTGCTGCCAGCCCGTGCCACCCCCAGGACGAGGTGCCCCTCGCCAGGGTCACGGGGCTGCAGCCCCGCAGCCGGGGACTCCTGCTGCAGGTCCCTGTGGGGCTGCAGCCCCCGGGCAGCAGGAGGGGGCTGTTCCCTCGCCCCTGGGCAGAACCGGTGCCTGTCCCATCCCAGGGTCCTGGAGCACACACGGAGCAGCCCCTGGGCACAAGGGACCCTTTCCACACCCCACCCATCCCTCTGCGCTGCGGGGCACCACCCACACCCCGCAAACCCCGCACACCCCACAACGCCCCGCACCAAGGATATCCCCCGGGCGCTCCCGCTCTCCACGGCACCCTCCGGGCTCTGCTGGGCACCCCTGCGGCCCCGGGCACTCCTGCGTCCTCCGCGGGCATCCCTGCATCCTCCCAGGCATCCCTGCATCCTCCCCGGGCTCCCCTGCGGCACCGGAGCCCTGCATCCCCCCGAGCATCCCCGCATCCTCCCGGCGCCGGTCCCCCCCAGCGGCGCCGGCATCCCCCGGCCCCGAGCATCCCCCGCTCCCCGGCCCTTACCGGCAGGTGCGGGGCGGTCGCGGGCACCGCCGGGAGCGGGCGCGGGCACGGGCACGGGCACGGCCGCCGCCGCCGCCGCTCTTAAAGGGCCCGGTGCCCGCCGGTGCGGCGAGCGAGGAGGGAGGCACCGGACCCCGCACCCGCCGCGCACAGTGGGCACCGTGCCCAGCGCCCCGGTGCCGCACGCGCACGGCGGGAGCACCGGCAGAGCGCGGAGCCGCCCTCCGCCCTGACCCCGCGGCACCGGCACGAGGGGCGGCCCCGGGGCTGGTGCCCGGTGTCGGTTCCCAGTGCCCGGTCGGGCTCGGTGTGTGCCCGGTGCCCGCCCCCGCCCAGCGATGCCCGGTGTGCGCTCTGTGCCCCGAGCCCGGTGCGTGTCCCGTGCCCCAGGTCCTGTGCCCAGTGTCAGTCCCGTGTACTGAGAGCTGTGGCCGGTGCCCCATATCCCATGTCCCGTGCCTGATGTGTGCCCTGTGCCCAGTGTGTGTTCCATGTCCTATATCCCAATCCCATATCCCAGTCCCATATCCCATATCCCAATCCCATATCCCATATCCCATATCCCATATCCCATATCCCATATCCATATCCCATATCCCAATCCCATATCCCATATCCCAAGCCCATATCCCATATCCCATATCCCATATCCATATCCCATATCCCAATCCCATATCCCATATCCCAAGCCCATATCCCATATCCCATATCCCATATCCATATCCCATATCCCAATCCCATATCCCATATCCCAAGCCCATATCCCATATCCCATATCCCATATCCATATCCCATATCCCAATCCCATATCCCATATCCCAAGCCCATATCCCATATCCCATATCCCATATCCATATCCCATATCCCAATCCCATATCCCATATCCCAAGCCCATATCCCATATCCCATATCCCATATCCATATCCCATATCCCAATCCCATATCCCATATCCCAAGCCCATATCCCATATCCCATATCCCATATCCATATCCCATATCCCAATCCCATATCCCATATCCCAAGCCCATATCCCATATCCCATATCCCATATCCATATCCCATATCCCAATCCCATATCCCATATCCCAAGCCCATATCCCATATCCCATATCCCATATCCATATCCCATATCCCAATCCCATATCCCATATCCCAAGCCCATATCCCATATCCCATATCCCATATCCATATCCCATATCCCAATCCCATATCCCATATCCCGTTTCCAGCACTGCGCCCCCTGGCGGCACGCTGCGCACGCGCTCTCCCCCCGTCACTCTCCGTGGTCTCGCCCGTCGCTCCCCCCGCGCTGAGGCCATGGTCCGTCCCTCACTCCCGCGCATGCGCGCTCCCGCCGGACGCGGCCCGGGCCGGCTGCGCGCTCGGGAGGCGCCGCGCGCACGCGCAGAGCCGGGCACCGTGAGCGGACCGGGAGCGGGACCGGGAGCGGGGCTGGGGGGACACGGGGTGAGGGAGACCCGTGGGCCGGGCCGACACCCCACGGGGTGACACTGACCCCGCAGGCTTTAGGGAGTTCCCCCGAGCGCGGCGGCACCGGGAGCGGCGGCACCATGAACGCGGCGCAGGGCACGGTGGGCAGCGACCCGGTCATCCTGGCCACGGCCGGCTACGACCACACGGTGCGGTTCTGGCAGGCGCACAGCGGCATCTGCACCCGCACGGTGCAGCACCAGGACTCCGTATCCTTCCTTCCCCGCCGCCCCGGCCGCTCGGGGCCGGCCCCGCGTTCGGGCCCCGGGCCGGGCCCGTGATGCTCCGTAGCGACCTTAACGGAGCCCGCAGCAGGTGAACGCCCTGGAGATCACCCCGGACCGGAGCATGATCGCAGCCGCAGGTGAGCGCTGCTGCCCCGCCGGCACGGCGGGCACCGGGCCGGACGCCCGGTGCCCAGCCCCTGCCCGGTGCCCAGCCCCTGCCCGTGCTCGCAGGGTACCAGCACATCCGCATGTACGACCTCAACTCCAACAACCCCAACCCCGTCATCAACTACGACGGCGTGAGCAAGAACATCACCTCGGTGGGGTTCCACGAGGACGGGCGCTGGATGTACACGGGCGGGGAGGACTGCATGGCCCGCATCTGGGACCTCAGGTGGGCACCGGGGCTGCCCCTGCCCGCAGCAACCCGGCTGCAGGGCGAGCTCACGGCCCAGGCTGCTCCCAGCCCCATCCAGCCTGGCCTTGGGCACTGCCAGGGATGCAGGGGCACCCTGGCACCCTGTGCCAGTGGCTGCTCTGGGTAAACCTGAGGAGCTGCAGAGGTGTATCCCAGCAGAAGATGGGGTACCACAGAAATGGCTTAGGGGCTTCACACGATGTGTTTGTGCTGCTGACCTGGTGCTGTTGCAAAGGGACAGCACAGGGGCTGCCTGAGCTCATCCCATGGCAGGAAACACACCCTTGGAGCAGGATCTGCCCCCGAGCATCCCTGGGGATGGGATGGGAGCAAAGCTGGGAGAGTGGGGGCAGCTGGGAAGCTTGAGGGTGACAGCATTGCCAAAGAAAAGCTTCCTGGGGCCTTTGGCTGTGATTCCCTTCAGGTGGGGCTTGGTTGAAGTTCCCCAGTGGGTTCAGCAGCTGTTGCTGAGCAGAGGGAGAGTGGGGGCACTTGAAGAGGCTGAAGGGAGCAGGAAAATCAATAGGGATCAATCAGTGCTAATGGCTGGGCTGGGCTTGCAGGGCTGTGGTTCTGCCTGCAGACAGGGCTGTGCAAACCTCTGTAAAGTCCTGAGTAATGGAAATGTTCCCTTGCATTTCATTTGGCAAAGGTTTCATTTTGCAAGTCAGGAATTTCAGGCTAAATTTGAGATCAGTTATTTGGACCACACTGTCCAAATGCTCTTGTAGTGCCAGTGCTGTGAGGGTGTGTTATGTTAAACAGATATTACTGAACATAGGTCTTAGATGTGAAATAATCCCTGACCACGGTGCTGCTGAGGTGCAGAGTGTTGGTTTGTGAGCAGAAGGTGGTTAATTAGACCAAAGGTGGCAGCATTTGTTTGGGCAGTTCCCTCTGTGGCTCTGCAGTTCCCTCTGCAGAGATGTTGATCCAATTATCCAGAGATTCCTCACGGCCTGAGTAAAGCCATGAAAACTTTGGACTCAGCATTTACACCTGCTGAGAAGGGGCTGAGGAGCCCAGAAGAGACTTTTGTGCAGTCAGGTAAATGCATTGAGTGGTGTTTGTCTGCTCAGAACCAGCCTCTGCTCCCAGGGACAGGATTAGCTGTGCCTGATGACCTGATCTCCTCTAGGGATTCTGCTAAAATTATGGACAGCGCAGGGCTGTCGATAAAGGCCTGGTTTGAGTGGAGACATGCCAGCATTGTCTTCTGCTCTGAGCACGGGATCAGAGCCAGGACTCCTGCCCTTGGCTCTTGTCCTTCCCCTGAGAAGGGGAGAGAGAGAGAAAAACCCACTTCAGGTTGTGTTTTTCTGGTATCTGCACCCTTGAGTGCTTCAGTTGTTCAGTGGCCAGCCTGTCCCTTAATGCTGCCTCTCAGACATGCTGAAAACCACTTGGCTGCTGTGGATGTTGTTTGGAGCTGTGGCTGTGCCACAGCCCTGGAACTGGGACAGCTCTGTTTGCTCTGGGGTGTAGAAAATCAGCAAATCCTTCTGGGGAGGGAAACAGCCTTCTGCAGAGTGTCACGGGAGTCATGCAGCTGGGACAGCCCTGAGCTGGGGAGAGGAGGGAGGACAGGACATGCTGTTTAACCCCAGAGCTGCAGGGCTGCAGCAGTGCTGCAGGGGCACCCTGTGGGACAGCCAGGCTGTGGGACAGCCCTGGGCTGGGGAGAGGAGGGAGGACAGCACATGCTGTTTCACCCAGAGCTGCAGGGCTGCAGCGGTGCTGCAGGGGCACCACGTGGGTGCCAGCTGCAGGCTGCTGCTCACGGTGCCCACAGAGACACGGCCGTGTGCCCTGCAGGCAGAGCTGATCGTGGGCGACCAGAGCGGGGCCATCCACATCTGGGACCTGAAGACTGACCACAACGAGCAGCTGATCCCCGAGCCCGAGGTGTCGGTGAACTCGGTGCACATCGACCCCGATGCCAGTTACATGGCAGCTGTCAACAGCTCGGTGAGCTCTGCCAGGCCCTGCTGGGCTGGGCTTGGGTGGGCATCCCCCAGCCTGGGCACAGCCTGGGCACAGATCCCGCTGTGTCTCTGCAGGGAAACTGCTACGTGTGGAACCTGACGGGCGGCATCGGCGAGGAGGTGACGCAGCTGATCCCCAAGACCAAGATCCCGGCGCACAACCGCTACGCCCTGCAGTGCAAGTTCAGCCCCGACTCCACGTGAGTGTGGAGCCCCTCACCTCCCTCCCAGGGCAGGCAGGGGCCAGCTGTGCCTCCAGCTGTGCCTCCAGCTGTGCCTCCAGCCGTGGCTGCTGCTGGCTGCGCACTGCAGGTCCCCAGGGAGGAGCGGGACAGGAGGCAGGGGATGTGACACCTCGGGGTTGCTGTCAGGGGTGTGCCACTCGTGCTCCCTGAGCTCAGCAAGGTTTGCAGCCAAGAGCTGGTCTGCAGTTGGGATCCAGCTGCTGCAGTGTGAGCTCCTTCACGGAGTCTGTTCAGCTGGAGTCTGCTCAGTCAGTGCAGGTGTAAGGAGATCTGATTGCAATGGGGACAGGTCTCCAGGCTGCCACTGGCCCTGGCCCAGGTCTGTGTAACCAGAGGCCCACAGGGGGACAGTGACTGATGAGATTGCCCTCAGATGTCTCCTTCTTGCAGGCTCTTGGCCACCTGCTCTGCAGATCAGACGTGCAAGATCTGGAGGACTTCAAACTTCTCTCTGATGACAGAGCTGAGCATTAAGAGCAACAACCCTGGGGAGACGTCGCGGGGCTGGATGTGGGACTGCGCCTTCTCCGGGGACTCCCAGTACATTGTCACAGGTGAGGCTCCTCCTGGCTGTGCCAGGGCCCTGCAGCAGCCAGGCCTGACCAGTTACCCTGGCTGGGACATGGGGCACAGGGGCTGTGAGGTGGGAGCAGCCAGTTCTGCTGACCAGTGGGGCAGCAGTTGGAACTGGAGAGGAGATCTCCAGCTGTGCTGTTCACCTCACAGCTCACAGCCTGTTAGTCCCTTGAACACACCTGTGGTAATTTCCACACTCACTGTTCTCCCAAAGAACTAAAGCCCACATGCAGAGCAGTGCACTGAGCTGCTCTGCCTTGCTGGTCATCACCAGCCCTAAGGATGGCTGAATGAAGCAAGAGCAAAGCATTTCTTAGAATAATAGTAAAAAAAGAAACTTAGAAGGTAATATACATCCCACTCTTCTTTTCACTCTGTGTTCCAGCCTCCTCTGATAACCTGGCCAGACTGTGGTGTGTGGAGACAGGGGAGATCAAGAGGGAATACAGTGGCCACCAGAAAGCCGTGGTCTGCCTGGCCTTCAACGACAGCGTCCTGGGATAACGGGCACATGGCAAGGACAGGACCTCTGCTTGTTTCCCCTTGCCTTGCCAGACCCTCTCCAGAGCCTGGGACATGCTCTGCACCCATCCCCTTCCATGTGGAGAGGGCTGGGGCTCGGACAGGGGACCAGCCTTCAGCTCCAGGCAGGACATTGCTGAAACGTGTGTGGCCCTGAGGGAGGGAATGGGAAAAGGAGGCACGGGCCCACTGCAGGGACACGGGTTCAGTTCAGCTGCAGGAATCCCTGGGGCATCGGCTGCTGACAGCTCTGGATGTTCCTGTACCCCAGAGTGGGAAAAAAATAAACGTCAGCCTTTGCCAGTGATGGGAGAGGCTGAGCAAAGAGGAGAAGCAGCTTTTGTCTTGGTTTGCAATCCCTTTATTCAAAGTGTTTCACAGAGTGACTTGGAGAGCTGCTCTCCTAAAGCCAACCACCCCCAGATGTAACAACAACCACCTTGTGTAGAACAGAGCCTGGAGCCCCAAAACTCCAGCTGCTTCCTGGGATTCCTCTGGGCCTGGGTCTCCTAATTCCTAGGGACGAGGCACAGCCCTGGAGCAGAGCTGCAGTGTCTGTGCTGACAGGGCTGAGCAGAGGCCTCCTGCTTCTCTAAACTCTCCTGATGCTGCTTCTCTAAACTCTCCTGACCTGCAGCTCAGAGTCAGCAGGAAGCTCTGGGGATGTTGTGGGTGTTCCTTTCCTCGTGGAAGTCAGAGGCTTTTCAGGAATGCAGTTCAAGTATGAGGGCAGAGGGGCGGCCGTGGCTGCAGCACTTACTCGGGCAGGTAGTAGAAGCAGATGGAGACACAGATGTTGCTGGGGAAGCAGATGTCAATGCACAGGTAGATGAGGCGCTGCCTGCCCGGCCCTGCCAAGGAGCAAGGACAGCAGTGAGAGCAATGCTTTGGTCCTGCAGCTGCAGAGTCCCCAGGGGTGCCTTGGTCCTGCAGCTGCAGAGTCCCCAGGGGTGCCTTGGTCCTGCAGCTGCGGAGTCCCTGGGGAGCTGAGCAAGGGGAAAGCCTCAGGGCATGACCTTTCTCATTCAAGCTGGAGTCAGATGGAGCAGGCTGGCAGCTCAGCAGGCTGCTGTGGCTGAGGATGAAGGTGACAGGGATTAAGCAGCGTGTCTCAGGGACAGCTCTGTGTGCTGGCTGTGCTGTGCTGTGCTGCTGGGGCAGCTCAGAGCCCATCCCAGTGCCACGGCTCAGGACAGGGGGTGGGTACCAGCCAGCACTCAGGGGTGGTGAACAATGGTCTGATTTTGCACTAGAGGTCATGCCCGTCCGTGGGCCTTGGCAGCCTGTCCTGGGATGCATCAGCTGCTGTGCAGCACAGCCTGATCCTCTTAGAGGTGCTGGAAAAGCTCCTGCTCCCCCTGCCAGGGGAAGTGGCCCACTTACCGTGCCCTCTGCGCACCCAGAAGATGGAGGTGTGCTCACACAGGCTCTGCACTGCCTGCCCCAGCCCCCTGGGCTCCAGCTGCTCCCCGGCCACGATGCCCAGGAACTCCCGGTAGAACTTGGTCTGGTTGTTGGGCTGGAGCTGCTCAGCCTGAAAGAAACGTCCCCGTTGGTTCCTCCCAAGGCACTTTGTCCCCCTCAGCCCTGCTCTGGCTCCCGGGGCAGCCCAGGAGGGGTCTGTACCCCCCAGGAGGGGTCTGTACCCCCCAGGAGGGGTCTGTACCCCAGCAGGTTTCTCCTGCCAGCTGCCTGTCCCAGCTGCCAGGGTGAGGCTGCCAGCTCTCATCTCCTGGCTGTGGGCCCTGCCAACCCCAGCACTACCACGTTTTACTTCCATTTAGCAGCCTCAGGGCTGGGCAGGTGCTTTCCTCTCCCTGCATCCCTTTTGGGAGTCTGTGTTCCTACACTTCTCTGGGAGTAAGGTGGAGACCAAGGAGCCCCCAGGAGCTGCTGGGGAAATGGATAGCAGATGGCAGGGGCACAAACAAATGGGGCTTTCTGTCTTTGGAAATGGAATCTGCCCCTGCCCAGGCATCCACTGACTCTTTGTTCTGAGGGTCCTTGTACGTGATTGCCTCCAACTTCCTTCCCTGGCAGTTGGTAACAAACCCCCTTTGTTTTTCCTCCCCCAGATTTTTGAGCAGGTAACAGAATCCAGTGGGAGTGGGTCCTGCAGGAGCCCTGCTGTTCACCTCCATGGGCCACATCCCCCTGCCCCAGGCTCCTTCCCACAGGAGCCAGGGTATGGATAAACTCAGGAGCTGCTGCTCACAGCTGGCTGAGAGCCCAGCCTGGGGGCACAGCTCTGCTCCTGTGAGCAATGAATCCCCCAGAACTGGGGCTGGGAGAGCCCTTGGGGGTGGAGAGTCACCCCTGCAAATCCACACAGGGGAGAACACTCAGTGAGCCTGTGCAAAGCTCAATCCATCCCCCAGCTGTCCCGGGAATGCTGCTCACGCTGTGCTCAGAGGTGTTGAGATCCATCTGCAGGGTCTGCAGGTCCCAGGGGTCCATCCTCCTCAGGTAGCAGGCTCGCTGCTCCAGCGGCTTGTAGCACACGTAGCCCTGTGGACAGATGTGCCCCTTGCAGCAGGCAGCACATGCCCACCCCTGCCCCAGGAAAGCCCTGAAGAGGCCATTCTCCTTTCCCCTGCTCTGAGCTCATGACTGAAGGTGCAGAGGAAGGCAGCAAACAGCAGCTGAGGAGGCAGGGGTGCCCAGCACTCACGTTCCTGCTGTCGTACAGCACCACGGCGCTCACGTTGCTCTCTGAGGTGATGTAGTAGGTGACAGTGCTCCTGGCCTTGTCCACCACGGCTGTCTGGTTCCTCAGCGGGTCCTGCTGGCCCTGGGGTGTCACTCGGAGGAGCTGGGAGCCAGCCTGGGCACGAGGAGTGGGAGGGCAGCCCCTGCTCTGTGCCTGTGTGCAGCATCTCCCACCAACATCCCCAGCCGGCCCTGGGCTGGCCCCTGCTCCTGTCTGATGCAGTGCAGAGGAGCAGGCTCTGACCCACGGGAAGGATGATCCACGACTCCATCCTCACCCCCAAAGGCACCAGGTGCTGGAGGAAAGGGCCAGGGGACCCCCAGCCCTGCCTGCAGCCTGCCAGCACCTCCCTGCCCCTTCCTGCATTGTGCAGACACTGATCCAGCCAGAGCCCAGCCCAGAGCTCTCCCATCCCTCCTGGGAGCTGCTTCCCACACAGCTCAGGGCTGCAGGCAGGAGGAGGCTGCCTGCCCACATCAGGATCCCTTACCTGGGCAGAGCTGGGGGAGAAGCTGAGAACCCCCACGACACTGACACCAACAACCACAAAAAACAACAAGGCAACGGACAAGATGATCCAGAAGGTCCTGGAGGGAGCTGGGAACTGTGCTGTGGCTCTTCTGTCCTGGGAGCCAGGCAAAAGAATGAGGAACAGGAGTTAAAATTGACCCTTCTGCCAATTCTTCCTCATCAATGAAGTTTCCAGCTCATGACACAAACCCTTGTGCAGACTGGTTGGAGTGCAGAGCTGCCAAACCATTGCAGCACCTGGAATAATCCCACAGCACTGGAATTCCAGATGCAGCACCTGGAATAATCCCACAGCACTGGAATTCCAGATGCAGCATCCTGGCAACCAGCACTGCCACAGCCAGGAAAGCTGCAAAGCCCCCAGGGCAGGGCTGGAGCAGCAGTTTTCCAGACACGGGGAACAACAAATTAAATTATTGTGGTTTACAGCAGAAATCCCCAGCGGGACAGTCAGCATTGGAATCAGACCCTGGGTGGAGTGATCCTGCTTCTGTCCCCCTCCCTGTGCTGGATTTTCTTGCTAAATTATTCTCCATGAGACCAAGGAAAAGAGCTTGGCAGTGCTGTGACATTTCTATTGGCTCTATTAATTTACTTTAATTCTTATATTGAAGCAATTAAATTTAACTTCATGGCACATAACGGGATTTTTACAAAGCAGAAAATGTGCTTTCAATAATCTCAAACACAGCCCACATTTAAAAAATAACCTGTTTCTCAGTCCTCTGAAGGCCAGAGGAATTCAATCCATGCCCAGGATTACACGTGCTCCAGCTGCACGAGGATGGGCTCACCCAGCCTTGGGACAGTTATGGATCTTTATTGGAAACAGGGAACTTCCAGATTATTCCCTGAGAAAAGCAGTGAGTTAAAACTGCACCTATCTGAAATCCCATCAGTTCCAGCAGAGCAGAGCTCCAGCCCTGCACTGACTGGCAGATTTTCAATAACCAGTGGAATTCCCTCCGGTGGGAAAGGTGCAGACCAAGAACTGCAGCAGCTCCCAGCCCTGGCAGGGCACAGCTCACACCCAGCCTGAGCTGACAGCAGGAGCTGGGCTGGGGGTGCTGGGGATCAACAGGACCCTCCCAGGATCCGTGGGAATGGCAGCAGCTCTGCCCCTCGGAGGGGGATCAGGCAAGCACGGAGCAGCACTGCCCGTGAGAGAATCATGCACTCCTGGAAGGGTTTGGGTTGGAAGGGACCCTAAAGCCCACCCAGTGCCACCCCTGCCATGGCAGGGACACCTTCCACTGTCCCAGCCTGCTCCAAGCTCCATCCAGCCTGGCCTTGGGCACTGCCAGGGATCCAGGGGCAGCCACAGCTGCTCTGGGCACCTGTGCCAGGGCCTGCCCACCCTGCCAGGGAGGAATTCCTTCCTAATAGCCCACTGAACCCTGCCCTCTGGCACCGGGAAGCCATTCCGTGTCCTCTCACAGCCTTGTGCAGAGGAAGGACAGAGACAGCCTCTACCCAGGAGCTGCTGGGACAGGGAATGCTCACTGCAGGAACAGGGATTACTCAGGGATACTCACTGCAGGAACAGGGGGTACTGACTGCAGAAACAGGTGATACTCAGGGATACTGACTGCAGGAACAGGGGACACTCAGGGATGCTCACTGCAGGAACAGGGGACACTCAGGGATGCTCACTGCAGGAACAGGGGACACCCAGGGGTACTCACAGCAGGGGCAGCACGGCCGGCACCGTCCCCTCCTTCCATCCTCACTTCAGACGAGCTCCTGGCTGCTGCCGCTCTGCCTCCTGCCCGCGCACAGGCTGGGCATGATCCCGGCTCAGGCACACCTGGGGAGCCCGGGCGTGTGTCCGAGGGCCATAAATACCTGTCCCTCGCAGCCAAAGGGCCCCGCGGGACGGAAACCTGAGGAGGGAGCGGGAGCTGAGCGCTGCTGTCAGTGCCCGGCGCGGCCCTTCCTGCTCAGCCCCGGCACGGGCAGCAGCCACAATCGAGCCCTTTGTGTGCCCCGGGGCTGGCACGGCCCCACGCGGGCCCAGGTGAGGCTTTTGGAGAGATCAAATGCCCAGAGGACAGTGGCAGCCTGCCTTTGTGGCAGCGGCAATTCCCACATTTCACCGGGAACTCGGTGGGCTGGGGCCAGGTGTGATCCTGTGCCTGGTGCTGATCCTGCTGTGCCAGGTGTGATCCTGCTGTGCCTGGTGCTGATGCTGTACCAGGTGCTGATCCTGCTGTGCCAGGTGTGATCCTGCTGTGCCTGGTGCTGATTCTGCTGTGCCTGGTGTGATCCTGTGCCAGGTGTGATCCTGGTGTTCCTGGTGCTGATCCCGCTGTGCCAGGTGTGATCCTGCTGTGCCAGGTGTGATCCTGCTGTGCCAGGTGTGATCCTGCTGTGCCAGGTGTGATCCTGCTGTGCCAGGTGTGATCCTGCTGTGCCAGGTGTGATCCTGCTGTGCCAGGTGTGATCCCGCTGTGCCAGGTGTGATCCTGTGCCAGGTGCTGATCCCGCTGTCCCTGGGCTGCACAGACACACAGACACACCTGTGCCACCCTCGGGGGAAAAGGGAAAAGGACTGTGCCACAAAGTCACCGCCACTGCTCTCACACTGTCACCCGTGTCCTGTCCTGAGAACCTCCCTGTGGGAGCAGCATTCCCTGAGCACACAGATCCTGAGCAGTCCAGGAGCCCCCAAAACCTTCCAGACCTGCCAGCCAGACATGACCCAGGTGTGGAGGCAAGGGAAAGCCAAGAATTCCTTCATGTGATGCGTGTCCAGGGAAAATGCAGGCTTTGGACATTCTCCTATCACACACAGCCCAGGGCTGGACAAACTGGGTGACAGGAGCCCACAAGAAAGGAGGAGAGGGACTTTGGCCAAGGGCATGGGCAGGGCAAAGGGGAATGACAGGGTTAGGTGTTGGAAAGAAATTCTTCCCTGGGAGGGTGGGGAAGCCTGGCACAGGTGCCCAGAGCAGCTGTGGCTGCCCCTGGATCCCTGGCAGTGCCCAGGCCAGGCTGGACAGGGCTTGGGGCACCCTGGGGCAGTGGAAGGTGTCCCTGCCATGGCAGGGGTGGCACTAGGTGGGCTTTAGGGTCCTTTCCCAAACCATCCCTGACCCCCAGGATTCCCAAAGCACAGCTGCACCACAGCTCACGGAGACCAGACCGCAGTGAGACAACGCTGGGGAGAGCAGGTTTGAGAGTTTAATGGGAATTCAAGTAGAGGATTAAGAACTGTTTGGAAGTCAGAACAGAGATTTGAAGCACGATTGACACCGCCACCAGCACATTCCAGCATCCCTGAGCCCAGGCAATGGCTCCCTTGCCAGCGAGAGCCCTCGGCAGGGACAGACTGCCTGAGGGATGCTGGACTCTCTGCTGGCCTTCTCCTGACACATCCTGACACAAAAAGCACCACCAGAAACAGAGACTGAATCCAAACCCACACTGCTACACCAGACACGGCCTGCAGTGAGCCCACAATGTCCATCTCCATGTTACCCAGAGCAAGGGTCAGCTCTGCCTCTGGCACTTTGCAGAAGAGATTATCCACACTTCTTCCACACCTCCACATGACAAACAGTCTTCCAGAGGTTCAGCCAGTGCTCTGGGAACACAGAGACCCTCTGGACTGCAGGGTTATTGCTGTACAAAGAAGGTGACAAGTTACCAGGCAGGAAATGGCATCAGCACTGCCCGAGCTCCTCAGCTGGACAGGAAGGAAAACCAGTGCTTAAATTGAACTGGAGATACTGGAATCTATGCAATAAAAGCGTGTTATTTGCATATATAATTTTCAATTAATTCTGCAATGCAAAAGCTTTCACTGTGGGATTCGGGCAGCACAAAAACCACCCTGTGGTGAGCCCCTCATTGCCCAATCCCACCTGGAGATCAAAAGGAATCGTCCCTGAGCAAGCCAGCACTCCTCACCACCCACCGTGCCCGGCCCCTGCCGGCACACGCGGAAGATCTGAACCTCAGGGATGGGAAGGAAGCACGAGCTATTGTCACACACAGCCAGCAGCCACAGGGCTCCCTGTGGACAGCTCTCCTGGGCACTACATCCATCACGGACTGAGCAGGAACTGGGATTGTGCAGCTAAAGCCAAAGCAAGTGGCTCGTTGATGCTGAGGGAAGTGCAGGAGCTTGGTCTGCATTGATCCAGGGATTTCTGGGAAGCAGCAGCAGGAATGAGGGACAGTCCTGTGTGGCTAGAGACTCTCTGCATTACCAAATGCAACGGTTTAGAGAATTAAATCAGTGAAATACATTCCTCTCATCCTCCCTCCTGGGAAACAAGGTATATTATCATAGACTCTATTTATAATTTAAATATATTCTAACTTTATGCTCAGGGAGTGCCAGTGTGTACATGTGCTTTACAGACTCTCGACCTTGGACAGACACTGTGTGCAGCAGCCAAGGTCTGCAATTGTGTGGGATCATCCCAATCTGCATCACAAGTGCAACGTGCAGTGGTCAAACGAAGGAGATGAATTTGTGTGACCTGACGTGGGGCTGTGCCCCTCAACAGGGCCCCAGCTGGGAAAAAGAGTCACCCACAGGGCAAACACCAGCTCCACAAGGATTTCCAACCACAACCAGAGCTGCTGCACATCCCAAGAGTCGTTTCCCTGAACAGACCGGGCTGAGCCAGGACATGATCCTTCCCCTCAGACCAAGCAGCTCCAGCTCCCCAGCTCAGCGCAGAGGAGCCGTGCAGCACCACCATTACAGCTGCACTGCAGCGATGCATTACAACTGCACTGCATCGATGCATTGCAACTGCACTGCAGCGATGCACTACAACTGCACTGCATCGATGCATTACAACTGCACTGCATCGATGTAGTATGACTGCACTGCATCGATGCACTACAGCTGCACTGCAGCGATGCCTTACAGCTGCACTGCATTGATGCATTACAATTGCACTGCAGCGATGCCTTACAGCTGCACTGCAGCGCTGCATCACAACTAAACCCAGCCGCAAGCCCCAGCCCCTGCAATGCCCCCTTTGTTCAAAGTGCATTTCAGACTGAGATGTAAACAGAACCATACCGAGAGGACAGCGAGGAGACAAGCTAAGGGTTCTAACCCCGGGAGCACCTAGCGTGTACGTTACTGCCACGGGGCTGCTGCCCGGGCTGCCCCCGGGCCCCGTTACTCCCCCAGGGCCGGGAGCAGGTCGGCGATGCTGTCGACGTAGTAGTCAGGGACCAGGCTGTGCCTGGCAGGACAGCCGCTGTCCTGGTGGCCCCGCACCTCGTCCAGCGCCGTCACCCCGGTCAGGGTGAGCAGCGTGGTGAGGCCGCAGCTGTTGCCCATCAGGATGTCCGTGTCCAGCCGGTCCCCCACCATGATGGTGCGCGCGGGGTCCACCTGGAACTCCCCGGCCACGCAGTCGAACATGAAGCGGTTGGGCTTGCCCACGATGAACGCCTCGCGCTGCGCCGCCGTCTCCACGGCCTTCACCAGGCACCCCGTCCCTGCGGGAACAGAGAGAGGGATTAGGGACAGAGGGCATCTCCATGGCCTTCACCAGGCACCCTGTCCCTGTGGGCACAGGCAGAGGGATTAGGGACACGTGCCCACAGGAGCCAGGACAAACCCGCTCAGGACACTGGGAATGGACACCTCAGCTTTACAGGCAGAGGGATGCGTGGGTCCCAGGAGAGGTGGCGCTTAAAGCCTGCCAGGAGGTGGGAATTCCATCCCGCAGTAGCAAAAGGGAACTCCTCTTTGCAAATAAAGGATCAATAAGGATTCTCTCTCTTTCAGGGTGCTGTGGAGGAAAGGCTCTGGGATGCCCAGGCTGCCTCAAAGAATCCCAGGAGAGCTGGAGCTGGGGGACCTCTGGAGATGATCCAGTCCAACCCCCCTACAAGGCAGGGCCACCTGGATTAGGTGACACAGGAACGTGCCAAGGCGGGTTTGGAACATCTCCAGAGACTCCACGACCTCCCCGGGCAGCTGCTCCAGGGCTCTGCCACTCCCCAGGGCAAAAGGCACTTCCCGAGACTGAGAGGCAACTTGTGCTTTATCAACACCGAGACGTGCCGAGCCGAGCACGGAGACCCCCCCATCCCCGGCACCACCCGCTCCAGCCCGCCGCCCCGCGCACCGGGGATGCCGGCGCCGCCCTCGAGCGGCAGCCGGTGGTCGCGGTTGGTGCCGACCAGGAGGCAGTCGGGGCCGCCGCGCAGCAGGTACCGCAGCGCCTGGCACAGCTTGGCGTAGCTGAAGTGCTCGTCGAAGCCCACCAGCACGGCGCGCACGGCGGGGTCCAGCGGCGCCTGCAGCCAGTCGGCGGGCGCGGGGCCGGGCAGGGCGGCGGGCCCGGGCCCGAGGTGCGGGATGCCCACGGCCTCCAGCTCGGCGGCGAGCGCGGCGCTGCCCAGCACGTAGGCGGCGGCGCCGGGCGGCAGCGCCTGCCGCAGGTAGCGGGCGGCGCAGAAGGCCGAGCTGAAGATGTGCCGGGGCTCGGCGGGCGGGAAGCCGAGGCGCCGCAGCTTCTCGGTGTAGGCCGCGCGCGTCCGCCCGCTGTTGTTGGTCACGTAGCACAGCCGCTTGCCCGCCGCCGCCAGCCGGCCCAGCGCCGCCGCCGCGCCGCT